AAATAAATAAATAAAATCTTAAAAAAAAAAATAAAACCTTGTTTGTCTGATACAAGTGTTGCTACTCCAGCTGCCCCTTCCTCCACACCTCATCTTCTGGGACCCCATTTACATGGATATTATTTCGCTTTATGGAATTGCTGAGTTTTCTGAATCTCCTTTTGTGATCTAATAGTTTCCTTTCTTTTCAGCTTTCTTATTTTTCATCATTTTATCTTATCACTGATTTGCTCTTCTGCTTCATTCATCCTTTTTTTTTTTTTATAGCTTCCACTTGAGACTGCATCTCAGTAATAGCATTTTAAATTTCAGTCTGGCTAGATTTTAGTTCTTTTATTTCTGCAGTAGGGGATTCTCTAGTGTCTTCTATGCTTTTTTCAAGCCCAACTAGTATCTTTATACTCATTGTTTTAAATTCTAGTTCAGACATCTTAGTTACTTACATCTGTATTGATTATATATGCTGCCAAAGCAAGCACTCATCTGTATTGATTAAATCCCTGACAGCGAGTATTACCTCCTGTTCTTTCTCTGGGGGTGAGTTTTTCCACCTCGCCATTTGGAAAAGAAAAGAAGAAAGAAAGAAAAAACAATAAGAACAACAATGACAATGGAAAAAAAAACCAACAAAATCCAAACCAAACTGAAACAAAAGAAAAACCAACAAAAAAACCCACAAAAAATTAGATCCTGGGTTGTTTTGTTTTACTCATTAAAAGAAACGAGATTCAGGGGGCGCCTGGGTGGCTCAGTGGGTTAAGCCTCTGCCTTCAGCTCAGGTCGTGATCCCAGGGTGCTGGGATCGAGCCCCGCATCAGGCTCTCTGCTCAGTGGGGAGCCTGCTTCCTCCTCTCTCTCTGCCTGCCTCTCTGCCTACTTGTGATCTCTCTCTCTCTGTCCAATAAATAAATAAAATCTTTAAAAAAAAAAAAAAAGAAACGAGATTCCAAGATAAGAAAGTAGAAAAACCTCTATACACATAAAAATGAAGTAAAATAAAATTCAACCAAAGGAAATAAAAACTAAATATATATATCATGTGATATAAAAATTTAAAAAGAACAAAAAAATTTGAAAAAAATAGTAACATAACAAAAAATAATACTGAAAGCCTAAAGGCTAGAAAAACAATGCTATACGTATAAACTGTTTTCCCCAAGAGCTGAATCTTTGTAGCCTTCTATGATCCATAAACATGGTGCAAGCCAGTTGTGTGGCGCTGATTCTTAGATGTACTTGCCCTTGCAAATGTGCTTCTTTTGCCAGGAGGCTGGGCTCAGTCTGAGTGGCTCCGGATTCCACTAGGTGGCACTGTTTTGCTCCCTGAAGGCTTTTGGCACCCATGTGCAGGATGAAAATGGCGGGAGGCCTGCTTCTCCCTCTCCCACTCCCCCTGCTTGTGTTCCCTCTCTCACTGTGTCTCTCTCTGTCAAATAAATAAATAAATAAAATCTTAAAAAAAACAAACAAACCCAAAACCTTGTTTGATATAAGTGTTGGTACTTCAGCTGCCCCTTCTTCCCACGCCTCATCTTCTGGGACCCCATTTGCATGGATATTATTTTGCTTTATGGAATTTCCCTAGCCCTTGAGCTGAGTTGTGTCCCCCACTCTTCAGTGAGCCTTCACAGAAAAGCAGTCGATCACTCCTGTCTCTCTGGTTTCTGTCAGAACTCTGTGTTCACCCAGCATGTGACAGAGTGTTTTTATCTCAGGCACGCTGTTTCAAGTCACTATATTTACAGACTCCTGCTACATGGACTTGCACTGTTCCTTCCTGCGGGGGATGGGAGGGTATCTCGCCATGTTTCTGCCTTTTGCTGGGCCCCTGCCTGGAGAGTGGATGCACGATGGTGTTGTAGCTCACAGTTTACGGCAACACAGAGCAGAAAACTGGCACCTAGACTTGTTTTCGGCCGGCTTCCCATTCTTATTCCTGGGAACCTGCCACACTCAGGCACCCCCGTTCTTCTTGTGACCTCAGGGATCCTGAGACCACCCTGTCACACCTGGGATTCTGTCCCACCTTGCCACCTGAGCAGCTTTAAGTCAGGGACTTAGACCACTGTAGCAGACTTCTAAAAGTTACAGTTTTGCACCCTGCAATTCTTCCAACTGACTTCCTGATTGTACCTGCTCTCCAAGGTGAGAGGTGAGACAAAGCTTAGCCTCTTTCTTGCTCATGGCACTTCCTCTCACCCTGCCTTTGCTCCCTCCTGGAGTCTCCCTGATGGAGTGAGAGGAAAGCACAAGTAGGATGGTAGGAACTTGACTTTCGTGTTGTAAAGAGAAAATAAAACAGATGAACAAAGGAAAGGGAAGGAAAAATAAGATAAAAATACAGAGGGAGCAAACCATAAGAGATTCTTAACTATAGGAAACAAACTGAGGGTAGCTGGAGGGAAGGTGGGTGGGGGGATGGGATAACTGGGTGATGGGCTTTAAGGAGGGCACTTGAAGTAATGAGTACTGGGTGTTATATGCCACTGATGAATCACTAAGTTCTACCCCTGAGACTAATAATACACTGTATGTTAACTAAATGGAATTTGTATGGATAAAAAAAAAAAAAGGGTATCTGTCCTCAAGAAAGAGAAGGACTGCCTTATGGGGAGGACTGAGTAGCTTGTGAGCCGGTAGACTGGAGGCTCAGTGTCTTGCTAGATGTAGGCAGGAGGCTGGCTTAGTTTCTGGTCTTTCTAACACAGCTACTTGCTTTAGCAAAGCTAGCAAGTGGAGAAGATAGTAGAAAGTCACCTGGCAAAATGGAAGTCATGATTATATATATTCCAAGATCACCACTGCCACATTTTATTGGTTGGAATATATTCCGGGTCCTGCCCACACTCAGTAGGAGGAGATTCCACAGGAATTGGAGACCATTGGCCTTACTATAGAATCTGCGTGGGGATGTTCCAGGTGACAGATGACAGGAATGGAGGGTAGCAAGGTCTCTGCACTGCACATGCTCATACACAGGGTGCACAATCACTGAACAAGATAATTATCAACTCTGGGTTTGATATTGGACCAGGTGATTTGCAGAGCTAAGCTGTGTTATCCAAGCAGGGTCCTAGACACAAGAATCATGGCTTTCACTTGGAAAGATCTGTCTCAGCTTTATGGAGAGATCGCCCTCCCTGAGTATTTCCACCTTCCCTTGTCAGACATTCTAAATCTCTAGGAAAGCATCATAACTAGTTCAGTTTGGAACCATTTTTTTTTTGCTTTCCTGTGTCCTGTTGCCAGGGGAATTCCGATCTCCCACTATTTCTACCAGTTCCTCAGACAGTATCCTGCAGTCCCTTCTTGTGATTCTACTTTGTTGGTTTCTTTCCTTTCATCCAGGTTATTTCTCAGTGATTTTTCTCTTGTATTGATGAGTCAGTTACATTAAAAAGTCACTGTCCTCTAACTTAACCTTTCCACTAATTTTTGGACCAAATGGGCAAAGGTTCTCTTTCCAATCTCAGCTTCTTCCCACACAGGGACAAGACAGTAGTAGGATTCCTGTAGAGTCAGGAGTTGGTATAGAACCTCATCGCATGAGACAGGTAGGTCACATAGGTGTATACCTGTATCTTCTTATGTCCCTAGCATTTGGTACAACACCTGGCCCACAGTAGGCACTCAGTTAGCTTCTGTGTGGAGGCTGTTTCCCCAAAACTCATTATAATAGTTGCATTTACCAGGTTATATACCTGACTCTGAATTCCTTCATGTTTCTCTCACTGAGCCTAGCAGGGAGCCTAACATCTATTACTGCCCAATATGTGTCTGCTGAATGGAAGTGGGGCTTTCTTTGGCAATTCAAAGTTTTTTTCAACCGATTATGCACAATGTTTGAAAAATTCACATAACATGAAAGTATAGAGTGAAAAGTAAATTTCATCCTCTGTCCCATCCATAATTCTTCCAAACTCTTTCCCCGGACATAACAGCTGTTAACCAGTTTCAACAGTATTAAAGGGAGAGATTTCCATTTTAGCAGGTTTTTCTTTTTTTAAAAATATTTTATTTATCTATTTGAGAGAGAGCTAGAGCATGATTGGGGCAGGGGAAAGGGAGAAGTAAGCTCCCTGGAGTAGGGAGCCGGATGTGGGGCTTGATCCCAGGACCCTAGGATCATGACCTCAGCTGAAGGCCGATGCCCAACCAACTGCAGCAGGTGGTGTTTTACCAAGTATTCTATCTGCATCTTTGTTCTCTATTAATATTATATTGTGAGACTATCTCACTATTTACATGAAATCTGGCTCAAGATTTGATAATGACCGTTCTGTTGCTGGTAATTTTTAAAACTATAAGTGAAGCAAAAATCATAGTCATTCCATAGGGACAGAGTTTCATGGAACACATTGTCACTCAGATTAAAATAGCCTCATTCATTCACCAGCCTCCCCTGAGGCTACTTTAGTCTGTGTGACTACATTCCAGCTATGGTGACGCAGAATGAGGTAGTAGGTGTTGCCATAAAAGGATGGAAACTTCCTGTTCTTCTGCTCTCCTTGCCCTGCTCACAGACCACGGACTATGGTCCTAGGTGCCCTAGTTCTAATAAGGAAACTTCCCAGGGTCATTGTCACCAGTGTGTCTGGACAGCCCCGTGGTGCAGAGCGACCCTACAGCCCCGGACGCCTCACCTCACTCATGGGACACACACAAGCTGCTGTCTGGTCGACACCACTGTTAGCTGGGTTTCTATTGTACGTGACTGAACTAATGCATATGGAGAGGGGAGGGCTTCCTGGAGGGGGTGGCCGTGGTGGTCTGGTCTGGAGATGAGCAGAAACGGATACACGGGGGCAGCACTGGGGGCTCCCTGGGACACTGTCTGTGTTGAAGGGAGAGCTGGGCCCCAGGGGCAGCACAGGGAGACTGAAAACTGTTTTCTTCTCATCTTTGTAGCCACAGGGCTGCCCTGGGGGCGTGCATGAATTCACCAGCTGTTACATTTGGGGGCCTGTGTTTCTTCTCTTCCCTTCCTGTACTTTTTACAGAATTCCTTTGTTGACTGCAGCCAGGATGAGAATCCCTGCTGGTGACCTTTCCTCCCCCTCCTGTCTGAGGGCAGTGGCTGTGGGGGCTGAAATCTAGAGAAGAAACCCCTCAGAGGGAAAAGGAACGCAGGGTCATTTGTCATTGGATTCTATCAGAAATCTGCACTTATCCAGGCTGGCTTGGATGGCCCACCTTGAGACTGTGGACCCCAGACCCTCATATCTTGTGTCCTGGTGATTCCAGATACTCACTGCATGACTTCACTCTATTCTGTGTGTCACCAGCAAGTCACTATGTCCCTTCTGTTCCCAAAGTGGGTATTATTACACAAGGGCATGATACCGGAGGATGGGACCACTGGGGCTATCTTGGGATCTGCCTACAGCAGGGGTAATTTTGGGAACCACCTGAATGTGTGGCCTCTCACAGGCCTGTGGCTAGGAATGCAGAGATCAGACCGAAAGAAGAGTTCAAGTCCGAGGATGTTGGTGATCACTCCCCAGGAATCCAGATCAGAGTCGGGATGTCACACATAGTTGCAGGGGGCCAGGCCTGAGGCTCCACCAGTCAGTGGACCACATGCCAGACTCTGACTCAGGATGGGTGATGGAGAAGACGGGACAGTGCTGCAGGCATTTGGCACAGGTGGTGTGAGTGGCCATCATGTCATCCTGCTGCCAGGAGCAGCAGTGACAGCAGTCCTGGTCTCAAGGTGCGGTGGTTCCTCTTTGGGCCTTGACCTGGGGTGCGATGATGGATTCTGTTCCTGCCTGTGCAGCCTTGGGCCTCTTCTGTGGCTTTCCCTGAAATAAAATGAGGCCTAGTACTCTCTATCTATAGTACATATTTTCCTACTTATATAATTTATATATTTCATGTATTTTAAGTTATGCTTTAATATTTATATTATGCATACTTTATATTTTTGTATTATGTATTTATAATTTATAAGATAAATGTTTCTCTATAAATATATGTAGTTTCAGTTAAAGCAACTTGGAATCTGTTCAAAACAAGGAACAAGAAATCCATGAAGGAATATTTTCAAGAGAGCAGGGATTCAGAAATTTTTTCCAGTTTTATTGAGAAATAATTGACATGTAACATGGGTTTAAGTGTACAATCTGTTGATTCATTTATGTACTGCAAATGATAGCCTTGGCTAACACTTGCATCATGATACCCAGTAACTTTTATATCTTCTTCTTCTTTTTTGGGGGGTGTGTGGGAACATTTAAGGTCTACTCTTAGGGATGAATAAGTTTTTCTTTATGTTGAGCTGATAACCGCTTCCTAAATCTTTCATCTGGTTTTGCTCCATGGGAGAGAAAATACGTTTCTCACAGCATATCTTGCATTTTTCTTCCTACAAAAAAACTATTTAAATGTGTATGTAAGGGGTGCCTGGGTGGCTCAGTCGGTTAAGCGTCTGCCTTCGGCTCAGGTCATGATCTCATGGTCCTGGAATCAAGCCCCGCATCAGGCTCTCTGCTCAGCAGGGAGCCTGCTCCCCCCCCCCCCACTCTTTGCCTGCCTCTCTGTCCACTTGTGATCTCTCTCTCTGTCAAATAAATAGATAAATAAAATCTTTAAAAAAAATGTGTACGTAAGACCCTTCCCCACACGGAGTGCTCCATCAAGGACTTCAGTGCTTCTTCCCTCTCTGGCAAAGCCCCAGAATTGCTTGTGTTTTTGTTAAAAAATACTCAGGCCTCTCCCCAGACCTACCATCTTGGAATGTTGGGTGTGGGCTCAGGAATCACTTACTTAAGCAGCCTTACAGGGGAGGCTGATGCATGGCCATGTAGGAATCCTGCTTCCTGTGCTCACTACTCAGTGTGGGATCTGAAGAACAGCAGGAGCAGCACCAGCCTTGTTATAAATTTTAGAATCTCATGCTCTACTCCAGCCTGTCTAGCTCTTCATAGTCCAGGAAATTCTTGTGTACACTAAAAGTTGGGCCTCCTTGGTCTATGTGTTTTCTAGGTGCAGAACCAAACTATGCAGTACACTCTAGGTGTGCGCTCTCATCAGCTTGTTTAACCCTGAGGAGTTCAGGGTTCTGTACTGTTCTTTTTTTCTGTGGCTGTCACCCCTTTAGGGATGTCATCTCTGGTAAAGGCTTTAAATGTGGTTTATATGGCATGACCTCTCACATCTATTTCTCCAACCCAGATATTTCTCCTACCCTGAACTCTATATCCACCTGTCACTCTCACTTGCATTTTTTTTTTTTTTAAGATTTATTTATTTTAGAGACAGGGGAGAGGGGCAGATGGAAAGGGAGAGAGAATCCCAAGTGACTCCCTGCTGAGCCGCGAGAGGGTGGTCTGATGCGGGCCTTGATGGCATGACCTCAAGATCATGACCTGAGTCAAAATCAAGAGTCGGATGCTTAACCAACTGAGCCACCCAGGTGCTCCACGCTTGCATTTCTAGTAGACATCTCAGATTAATCATTTCATAAATTGGATGCTTGTGATGCTGCTTACTCAAATGTGCTACTTCCAGAGACTTCCCCCTTTCCACTGAAGGCACTGCAGTGTGAAATATTGGATGCTCTCCTTGATTCCTCATTCTCTTTCTCCCTAGAATTAATCCATTAGGAAATGCTGCAAAGTCCATCTTTAAATATATCCAGAGCCCAGTCATTTCTACTATCTTCCCTCCTCACACCCCAGATATACAGCCAACATCCCCCTCCTGGGACACTGTACCAGTTTCCTACAGATTATATACTGGTTGCTTGCCCTTGTATCTCAATTCTACACAGCAGCAAACAGAGGCTTCTAAGGAGAGGTGGTACTAGGTGGGTCGTCTCTTTAAAACCATCTCGTAACTGCACGTTATGCAGAGAAAACTCAAACCCTTCTAATACCCTAAGGCCTGGACATCTGATGTTATTTCAGCTGCTCTCTGTTCCAGCCACAGTGGCCTCCTTGCCCTTCCTTAACACAGGACATGCTCCTGCCCTAGTGCCTGTGCACTGGTGGTTCCCTGACTGAAAAGAACTCCCCCCAGACATCCTCTTACACAGTTCCTTCATGTCCTTCAGATCTCTCAAAGGCACCTTGGTGAGGCTCATTCTGATCACTGTAGTAAAGTAGCCATCTTCCCCTTCCCATCATAGGTGCCTCTCTGGATCGCCTTCTACACATACTTCCCAACACCTAACATACACATTTCCCTTGTTTACTAGCATAGAGTCTGTCCCTTACTCCAGAACATATGCCTCACAAGGTGGGCAGATTTTTTCTGTTTTTCACTGAGGTGTCCTAGATGTTAAAATGTTCCTATATCTGACAGTTATCAGTTGAATGAATGATCTGCATGGAGTACCTCTCTCTTCTAGATGAGCCTCAGGCCACAGCTATTCATGGCAGCTACCACTTTTCTCCCCATTGTTGGTCTCCCTGCTCCACCAGCATTGCCTCTATTCCACACCATCCCTCCTGCACAGCACAGGAAACAATTACAGTTCTCCATTCAGAAAAGTTGTACTTAGGGGCACCTGGGTGGTTCAGTGGGTTAAAGTCTCTGCCTTCGGCTCAGGTCATGGTCCCAGGGTCCTGGGATCGAGCCCCATATTGGGTTCTCTGCTCGGCAGGGAGCCTGCTTCCCCACCCCCACTGCCTGCCTCTCTGACTACTTGTGATCTCTGTCAAATAAATAAAATCTTCAAAAAAAAAAAATTGTCCTTAGGCTTATGGGTTATATATTCCAGAGAAATGTGAATTCAAATCAGACACTGCTTTATAACTTTATGAATAGGATTGGAAACAGAATGAAGATCACTAGACCTAAGGGGCAGGGGGTCAGGTAGGTGAGCAGAGAAGACAAACAGAAATTTAATAAGGATGCGAAATGATCAGATTCTATCTCTAACTCCAGAATCTGCTTTTTAAAAAAGATGGTGGAAGATGCAGAATGACCCAGAATAGCTGTAGAAGGAGAAGAGATGGATGGGTCTGAAAATTCATCTTGCAATGCCACAGAGACTCCTGTGTACGTAAGGCCTCACTGGGCCTTGTGGAAACAATGAGAGGCCATAGGACGCCTGTGATGGTCACAGACTGGGGATACCAGAGGCATATGAGACCAGAACTTGTACACAAGAATAAGAAGAGGCCCAATTCTCTATATAAACAAAGAAAAAAAAAAAAAAACAAAAAAAAAAACAACACCCAAAACTGGGGGGTGAGGATCTAATCCAAGCTGGAGCCTAGCCTGACCTGGTCAAGGCAGCTTTTGATGCCCGTAGTCCTAGAGACAGGTGATGTCTGAGTCCCTGTGATCATAGGTCCTGGTGGAATAAGTTTCCACTGAAGGGACCAGGGAATAGCAAAGATGACTTAGCTGAGGAGTGACCATGTTAAAGCCCACAATGCACTGAGTACTAACCAGGCACGGTTCTGTCCACAGTTGGCTACTCAGCCTCTCCTGTCCCACCTACAACAGACAGCACAGCAATCAGGCATCTGGAAGTTTCTCTGCTTCCATTTATTTCCTGTCTCAACTTTAGGAGTCTTCTCCTTTATTACCGTATCAGTCCTATATGACAAGAATAGAAAACACAAATTCATATCCAGATTTTCTTTTTCTTAATCTTTTTAAAAAAGATTTTATTTATTTATTTGACAGACAGCAAGAGCAGGAACACAAGCAAGGGGAGTGGGAGAGGGAGAAGCAGGCTTCTTGCCAAGCAGAGATCCTGATGAGGGGCTCAATCCTAGACCCTGGGATCATGACCTGAGCCAAAGGCAGATGCCTAATGACTGAGCCACCCAGGTGCCCCTGTATCTAGATTTTCAATAGAGAAGTAAAATATTACTTCTCAGCCAAACATGAAGGAAAGACAGGGATGGAGATGACCCAATCCCATCTCTGCTAGAGCAGGACAGCAAATCAGGGAAGAGAGCACAGGTCAGTTTGTCATTGTCTGGGATAGGACAAACAGGATGTGGTCAGGGCCCACAGGAGATGAGACTAAATGAGGAGATATGGGGTAGGTGAGCTCCCCGTGGGGTCTTGTCTACACTATCCCAGGGTCTCAAGAATCTCAAGAGTAGCTCCCTTCTTTTCCACATCAGGTCAGAGGCCAGGAAGAAGACTGGTTATGGTATCCAGAGAAATATCCCATAAGGGCCTGCTCCTCCCAGAGGAACTGGCTTGTGGACCCCGGATGTAGGGGCGGGGCAGGCCGGGTGGAGACGTCCAATCGGTGGAGTGCGCGTATATCCACTGGGGTGAATTGGGATTCAATTGGCCGCCTGTGTAGGGGCAGGGCTCAACCACCCCCATAAAGGTTGGTCTGCGAGGCTGTCGAAGGGAGAAGGAGAGCTGTCAGAAGAAGAAGCAGCAGAAGAAGAAGAGTCCGTGGTCGGGAGCAGAAGAAGAGCTGTAACAGCTCTTGTAAGAGCTATAGGGGCTGTAACAGCTCTTCTAAGAGCTATAAGCGCCGCCAGCGGTCCCGACGCCAGCGGTCCTGCGCTGCCAGCGGCCCCGAGATGCCTGTGGCACCAAGACACCAGCAGCCCCGATGCCAGTGGCCCTGCCCACACACCGCGACCCTCGGTAGCGGCGCCGCGGGAAACGGCCTAGACGCCAGCAACCTCGCCGCGAACCCTGAGCCGCTGCCTCGCCAGAGCTGTGTCATTCTGGGGAGCGGCTTCATCTGGGAAGAGGCCTCCTTGGTGAGCGGCCCTGCGGGAGCAGCATCATCAGGGAAAAGGCTCCCTCCAGAGTGGCCTCGCTGGAGCAGCCTTGTCTGTGGAGCGGCCTCGCCAGAGCAGCCTTGTCCGGGGAGCAGCCTCCCTGGACAGCCCTGTCCAGGGAGCAGCCCTGTCTGGGGAGCGGCCTTGCCAGAGCAGCCTT